CGAGCAAACATCCCCAAAGAAGTCGCATCCAGCTGAGTCGGTCGACGCTCTGGCTCATGGAAAAGGCTTCAGCTGAAATGGTGGACCTCACAACTCTTGAGATCTTCTTTGAGGATCAAATCAAAGGTGACAGTGGACCTTTGCGGTTCTGATCGAGACACGTGGACGTGGCGCAGATCAAATGACCTTGGAATGAACTTAAATTCTTTGGGCTGGCAAAGGAAGCATCTCCGAACGAAATGTGAGTTACGTCCTCTGGGGTTATGGATCGAAACCAAGTCTTAGTGTCACTATGTTCCTGAGCTTCACGCAAAACCTTGTTTGCCAAAAGCATGGTTCCAACAGTTGGTTTGGACAGTTGGCATTGGACTTCACCTAGTCTGGAAGCGATGTCAGGTCTTGTGTGTGTTACGGCATATTGAATGCTTCCAATGATCCCTCTAAGTTTTGACAACTCGGTTTCCGTCAAGTCCGATTCTGGTTGTTCACGGCGGTTCTTTCCGATATCAATGGCCATGATACCATGGACATACGCTTCTTGGGAAGCAGAGATGGATCCATCAGGTTGCTGCTCCAAGTCAATACCCGTGAATTTGAATTTACGCTCTTTGAATGAACCGAAGGGTAACCGTCGTTCTAGTTCCTTGAGTTGCTTCCGAAAGAACTGGTCACCACCACCTAGGCCATCACCCACGTGGGTTCCTAACACTCCGTGCAAAACAAAGTCTTTGCCCTTTCCAGATGACAAAAAGTGGACACATGGTTCAAGAGGATGAGTCTGGAAATTAAGTTCACGGAGGTGTTTGGTCAGTTCCCGGTAGAAAAGCAAAGGAGCATCTACACGTCCGTAGGCGTTTCCGACTAGTTGGCAGATCTCCGTGGGCTTGAGCTGCATTTTTCGACGGAGTTCTTCTGGAGGTTCCATTGCTAACGGATTCGAAGCATCGGCCTTTCCCCTTAAGAAAGCAGTCGTGAGTCGTGATGTCAAAAGAGCACAGGTTCCATTTCATTGAAGCGATGCATTGTAGTATTGTTGTACGGCCCTCCTTGGTGAGGGTGGGTGCGTCACGCTCCACCTCGCAAAGTCTCGGATCCATAAATCCTAATACGACTAAGCGAGCTTTCGCTTTCCTACGACGGGGGTCGTCGCTCTCTTTCCAGGTCAATACCCATCTGGATCTAAGGATCTGCTCGGGGTTGAGTTTCTGCCTAAGGATAGGCCTGATTGCGTTGGTTTGCAACCAACACGATAGCTCAAGATCCTTTGCTGCAACAAACAACTGTTCTTCATGGGACAATTTCTGAAGCTGAACCTCTGCTCTTGCCCGCTTGCCAGCTGTCGCTACATGTGCCATTTGCTCGGGGTTGTCTTCAGATGCCCAGGCTATTAAATCCTTATCGGTAAGGGGAATCTCTAGGGCAAATCCTTCTTCTTCTGTCGGCTGGAGGGTTTCAGCGACGAAGGCAAACCCATCGTCGGCCAGGAGGCATGAGTCTCCTGCCTCGCCGAACATGGCTGTTTCGCATGTCACGAGGTTCGGTGACATATGGTCGATTGGTTCAGCGAAATCGTTTGAAAGGCATTGAATGAACAGTCCTACTTCAGTCTCCATGAAAGCAGCTTGATCCATCAGTTGTTCTTCATCATTTTCTTCTACCGGAGGGTCTGGATCAAGATCAATGGCTTCTCCCATGACTCGAGTGTCTTCTTCATTCAAAGGCTGGCTTGCCGTTGAAGGCGGGAGTTCTGGCACTTCGAGCGGGATATTCGGGGTAATTTCTCTTTCGGGTTGGGCATCAGGTGTTGGTGGAACTGACAGGCTTGTGCGATGTGGTTGAAGTGACCGAAAACGAGTATCGGCATCTATGGCAGTTCCTCGAGAATTGGCAGGATTATCTGTCAATGGAGTCGGGTTTGCAGATGTTTGATTTTGGTTCCATTCTCTTAGGGACATGGGCCTAAGGTTCTCTGGAGGACACCTGATAACACGGTTTTGGTGACTTAGCCATACAGTGGATTGTCCCTCTTGTTGAATGACACGCGCTGGACCATACCACCGGCCACTTTCACCTCGAGAGACATTCTTTCTACGGAACCAGTACATGACCGACTGTCCTGGATGGAAAGGTCCTCGAACAGGGCAGGATCTTCGCAACAGAGCCCCTCGAACTGCTTGATGGTTATCAGCGTCTTAAAGGCTATTCGTGCTTCATTTCGTCTAGTTAGAGTTTCATGGAACTTTGACGTTTCTGGGTTGTCATCTTGTAACGTGTGTGCACTCGTGGTTTCATCTCCAGTGAGTGATCCTGGTATTCGAGTCGCCTTGCCAAGGACAATCTGTTCTGGCGAATAGCCCTTGTGTCGAGCCATCTGGTTCTTGGCCATGCAACACGCCGCGAGGGTCCTATCGAAATCTTGGAGATCTCGAATCATGCGGTCTTGGTCCACACGGTGCAACATCTGCTTCAAAACTTGCCCGTGTCTTTCAATGCGACCCTTTTGCCAGGCTTCAGAGGACATGAATGAGGTGATGCTATTTGCTTGGAGAATAAATCCATCCACACCTGAGAGGTGAACTCACCTGCAGGATCAGCATACACGTGAGTGGGTGCTCCGGCCCATGACATCCAAAAGTCCTGAAACAGTGAGGTGGTATCTTCTGCGGTACGAGAGGTTGTCCTTTTGGCTAACTGAAAGGTTGAACATTCATCGACGCAGTGAATCATATACACTTGGAAACCCGCCCGACCTTTCCAGAAAATGCTATCTAAACCCACTACATCATTGAAGTCTTTGGGGTCATGAAGTTTTCCGGGACGTTGATGTTTGACTTGAATGGACTCAAGACATGCATCACATGCGTATTCAAGGGCAGCCTCAATTATCGCAGGGTCAGCCTTCTGTGCAATCAAGTGGGCTTTCAGCTTGATGGGATCTGGATGTCCTAGGTTCTTATGTAGCTTCACAAGTTCTTGTTCTTGAGAGTCTTCTAAAAGCTGGACCATGAATCGGTGTCGGCGGAGGTGCCCAACCTTCGGGAATGGATATTTGTTTACCTAGTTCTTGTTCTGATTGAGGTACCGCTATATGTCTGTCTATGTATCGGGGGTCTACTGCCGGCACATCTCGGAACGTTTGCTCTTCATCTGGCGTTCCTGCAGGTGGACGTCCATGTTCATGTGACTCATGCGACCGTGGAGCTCTCTCAGCGAGGCTATCGGATCGACGGCCGAAAGCTGTGAGCGTCAAGCGACTAGGAACGCTGGCACGGATCTTCTGAGCACGAGTGAGGTTCGACCAATTGTCTTCACCCATGTCCAACAGTTTCAGCGTTTGACGATGGAGACGCCAGGTATGTCGAACGTCTGCTTCACTAGTTGATGGGGAATCTAACGGGACCTGAAATCTTTCGGTGCCTCGGCAAACAAAAAGATGTGTCCATTGAATCTGTGGATTGATCTCTCGAAATGCAATGAATGTGGGGTCGTCGAGCTGTATCTTTCGGTTCCCTACCCTTGGTGCCAACCTATGAGCGTCCTGAAATATGCGTTTCCAAACATCATGCTGTTCCGGTGGAACCTCATCTCCAAAAGAGAGAACGTCAGGCCTCAGGGTCAGCGTGGATGGGTGAAAGACATCATCAACGCGACGTCTCTTGCTTGCCGGCTCTCCCTCGATGTCCTGATGAGCAAAAGCCATGTTTGGATGATAGTTAACGGGATCATCTACAGTGTCTAGGATCACACGAGCCACTTGGTTGGCAAACCCCTTACAATAGGTTGCACAAAATTTGGATAGTTTGAGGCCTCCCGTTGGTGTTGCATAGGATCCTGCAATCGACACATGTTGACGCGTTTGAGGGCATTTTCTATCATGTAAGTGGCTTTGAACAAACTCGGATGTGGACAGCAGGTGACTTCGTTTCCTAAGAAACAGTTGTGTGTTTGGAATCCTCAGTCCGAATGCACACATGTCCAGGTGAATCGGCAAAGTCAACTTCTGCATGGCTTGTCCGTGGGAAGTGGCAAAGGCACCAGAGCCCAGTGGATGTTCAAAATGAAAATGACGGCCATGTCGACGCTGGTACTGGCACAAATCCAGGCATAGCTTTAGATGTTTTCCTTGGTCAAATCTTGATTGCGCGACATGTTCAAATGACTGTGTACTGCGATTCAGATTGAATCGGCTCCATCCTCCCCACGGGCCACACTCCGGAGAACACCAGATATGCTCTGGTTGCCAGTGCTCAATCAGTTCCCACAGCTTTCGCTTGCCTGTGAAGGTTGAGAGGTCTCTTGAAATGTGAACCTCGCAGAACCTCCTAACTGACGAATGCTTTCGGTCAAAGGACTGTTTTCAGAAGCATACACCTCTAGCAAATTAAATTAAGCGAGGGCGAGGTCCTGAGAGCACGTTGGCCTGCGCATACACGTCATGGACTAAAGCTTCAGCAGCGTCCAGGGATGGAACATCACAGCTCGGAGATTCCTTCTTCAATTCTTCCCGCATGTATTGAACATCCCCCTTGAGTTCAGGATTGAACAGCTGATCTAGCTTGGCAACGCTGTGCAACAGACATTGGGCATGTTCCTCAAAAGGCGTCAAGTTCATTGAATCGGAATTCGATTGGCTGTTTGTCCCTGCTGGACAGTGCGGAGCCACGTGTTCATCGATCGGACATAGGCCACGTAGTCCTTCTGTTCGGGAGTTAAACTTCCGAACCGCTGAATCAGCCATTGGACATATCCGGGGTCCTCGTTGCGCACCGTGCGGTAATCCTTCCCCTTGTGCTTCTTTCCCCAGCCAATTGGCTTGGTTCCCCACACACCCAACGCCGGAGGCAGGTTGGGCAGCTGATCGGGTTCGGGAATCACGGGCCAGGCCTGCGCGTGCTGATCGGTCAGCGGCTGAGAGGTCGCCGTGCCCGGTGTGGACATGCTGGGCATCGGAGTCGAGGATGAAGTTCCCGTTGCGCGGACCGTTGACACAGCGGCTGGTGTCATTGTCGGAACGGGTGTCGTGACGGCTTGGACTTGAGTTCCCACGCTGTCTCCGAGGTCTCCGATTGAGCTTGAAGTCCTGGAGCTTGACTCGGTGATGGAGGATTGCGCATTGTTCCAGCTCTTGCCGGACTGGAAGCGCCTCTCTGATTTGGAAGCTGTTCTAAAACATCTTCCAACATGGCCCTCTGGCTCTGGAGTTGGCTCTGGAGTTCGATGAGCATGGTCTGGAGTTCGTTGACCGGCATGTCCCCTTCGGCATCGATGGCTGTCGGATTCTCCATGATCTGGAGACTGCAATGCAGAAGCATCGAGAGGACTTGGATTAGGACCTCCGACACCTGTCGAATCCCCTGGGTGATCTCGGCACGTGGCGGCATTCCCGAAAGGACGGGGGTGTGCGCGATCGAGAAACTTCGAAGTCTTGACCTGTTTGCTGCGCTGGGATTCCGACACATTGGATGAAAGACTGCTGAATCCTACAAAATCTGAGGTCTCATGACTCGGAACCTGGTGGCCTGAGGATGGACGACTACACAGTTCAGCTACATTCAGTAGATACAAACCTGACTTGTTCACATCTAAATGCAGTTTCCGTTTTAGACGATGTAAAAAGCAGGTGTCTGAACGAGTGTCCAAGGCTCCACCCAACAGCTTGAAAGCTCTCTTGGAAAAAAGGAAGGGTGTTGAGCCAGGCACAACCTCTATGGTCAACCACAAACGCTTCTGATCTTCTCCAGAGATCAGCGGCAAAAGGATGCGGCGCTCACTAGTCAGATGTGCACCGTTGCCAAAACGAAACTTCACTTTACTGTCAACGCGTTTGATGGATTCTTGAATTGTGGAATCCAATTCTTGCAAAAACAATTCCATGTTAGTTGATCCTATCACACATCGTGAGGCTCCGGTGTCTAAGATTGCGTGTGAGGCCTGGTGATCGCTCGAAGCGATGAAGCTATTGTCCATCGCACAGGGCCGGTGTTCTGGCTTCTCTTCATTCCTGGCCGGGCGAGAGTCATGTGGCCGAGACGTGTCCGAATCGGATGGCTTTTGGAATCGATGGCAAAATGCCTGCATGTTCTTAATTAATCTTTGATGTTGCTCACTTGAACATTGAATGACGAAGGCAGTGGCTGAATCCCCAAGATTACAACCCCTATCTACCTTACTCCCTTCAACAATGCTCTCGAAATCGGTTGGTCGATCGACACTGGCCTGAGAGGCATCGGAAAACACTTCCAAAACATCTTCAGCTGGATCCGAAAGGCTTTCCAAGAGTGGTGGAATGCCTAAGTCAAAAGATGCTTCAGCCAGGTTCGCACTCTCACGGGTCTGAGTGGTGCTTGAGTTGGCACGATTTGGACACTCAGCCCGCCAGTGTCCGCGTTCACCGCAAGCTCGACAATGTGATCTAGCGATCCGTGCCAAGAGCTGTTCACGCTTCTTTCCCTTGCCTCCTCCCTTTGCAGCCTTACCCTTTTTTCCTCCTTTGGAGTAGGGATTTGAACTCGACTGCACTGGCCAGAATCCTCGGGTCTTCCGCTTGTCTTGCAACTTCTGTCTCGCATCAATGTAGGTCACCAATGCATCATGCATCGATGGAGTGTCCTGCAGAAACTCTTCCAATTCCTGTTCGAATTGTTGCACTGCGCAAGCGTCCTCGTCGTTCTGGGCGACTAGTGCTTCAATGTAATCTCCATCAACTTCGTCGTCCAACGCAGTCAAGAAGGTGAGTGCTTCCGTCGATGACGCTGGATGCGAGACCCCTGATTCTGCATCATGGGAGGCAGCAAAAGCCGGTTCGCTATCACATTCTGTCAAATTGACATCATAGACCTTAGTCTTTGAACTCTTGTTGCCCTGCAAATCTAGGAAAAAACGGCTGCCCAGCAAACGAAAGGCCTTAGTGACCTCAGGATACCTCAACTTGCCACCTTGGTCAAGAACAATCTTCTTGCGGTCATCGGGTGACAATGTCGACTGGCGTAAAAGGACATACGCTCGAATCTCCTCAAGGGTCGTGCCCCTTGCAAGCAGCTCTTCAAAATGCACCTCTGATCTGGCGACATACGAGTCGTGGCTCTCGTCGCTCTTCTGCAGGGTGCCATAGAGGGCTCGCTCAAAAGTTTCATACTGTTCTTCCAACATGGTCATGCCCCAGGATCCACCTAGAGTCTCAACCAGGGTGATGACCCCGTCAACTGAATTGGTCTTCAACTTTTCAGGTGAAATCCTCATGACCTTGTGGAAGGCCGCGCCTTCAACCAACAACGCCGCACGGGGCGCTAGCACCTCAAGATGCTCCTTTGGCCAGATGCTGGCAATGAATTTCATCTTTTGAGTGTATTCCTGGACATTCGTCGTTCCAGGAATGAACTTAGGAAGACTGGACCATGGGAGCGACGTGGAACTCGACACGCTGCCCGAGGCCTCCTCGGGAACAGGAATCGACGATGCATCCGCTGGTGGAGGCATTTCAACAAGCCGTCAACAAGGCGTGTCGCCTTCAATGCTCAATGTGTCAATTGCACAACTCAATGCACCCTTTCAAAGTCTAAAGCAACAATGTCAGCCCACCGACAATGCTCGCCTGCAATGAACAATGCACCGATGCTCAATGTACAACACCAAGCAGCAACACGTTCCAGCAATGTACAATGCTCAACGTGATCGACCGACGGTCAACACCAAGCAACCAACAAAGCAACCAATGTCAACGCTGTATGACAACACGCAACCACGTGATGCAAGATCAAAATTGAAGCTGTCCGGTGAAGTCCGCTCGAAATGCAAGAACTGTCAACCGTGTCCGGTTATCGTCCGTTCGAACGCAAGAGCACGACCGTCACACTGGTCAGCAAAGCCCTGGATCCCACTCTTCGGAGCAACAGGCTCCGCTACCAATGTGAAATTGGTAGCGGGCCAACCTCAACAACAACAGGTGGAAACCTTGTTTCCAGTGAAGCCCTGCTTCAAGAGGAACACAACCTCAAAGGAATGGACCCTGTCCAAAAGGTTGGAGCACCGCTCCACCGCAGCCCGCCCTATGGCTCGCGCTTTTCCTCAAGCGCTATGGCTCCCAGCCCTCCCACCTCGAGCCCCTTCTGGCATCGGTGAGAGTCAAGCGTGACGAGACACCTGGAGATCCTAGGCTGGTGAGTATACACGTTTCACAGCACACTACTTTACAAACAACTGAAATGGACCTCCCCCCACGTTGGTTCATATACCTCAAAGGTCTTGACGTGTATTATGACCCTGCTGAGTAAGTTAGTGGGGTATCGCTATCAATATCAAGTGAAAGAGATGTCATTTTCATTGGGCCAGTGTATATCGTATATATATATATATAGATATCCGTTTTGACAATAACGATTCTGTCACGTTCCACCCGTGCCTCAGCACTCATTGCTTCAGGCGATGTTTGGAGAAGCCGTGAACCTGGATGACTATGCCCAAGCTGCTTTGTTGAGCGAGTGCGAGGAGCGGCAGAGCAGCCTGCGGGCCGCTGAGGCCCACAAACTGCCGGTGTGCGAGGGATGCAACCATTGTCAGTTTTCTTTCAAGCAGTGGATGACTTCAATGATTCATCGGTTTACTGGTGTTGCAGGGTTCGTTGTGGTTGCAATGTCCGAATTGATTTGCCTCCGTCATGATGGCGTCCGTTCCTTTTACTGAGGTTTTTGGATGCTTATACAGGCTCCTTTGAAACTTTTGTGGATGCTAAGCACCGGCCTACTGATGGGATTACAACCTTTCTGTGGTTCAAGACAATTGTTCGCTGGGTGGTTTCTTCTGACCGGAGTGAGTCTCCTTTTCGCTGCAAACACAGCTTCTAGCTCGCTTCAAGCTTGTGAGGCAGAACTCCTGCACCGGGTTGTTCGGCAGTTGGGCGTCTTGGCTTCGATCGGAGTAAGTGGCGGAGTTGCTTCGAGGCTTTGATGGAGCGTAAGTCGTAAGTGTAACCTGGATGGAAACCAAATGTGGCTATAGTATGCTATAGTAACATTTGTGAATTGAGCGATCAAATACAAGTCAGTAATTTTTGAGTTCCGGTGCCACCGCGATGTAAAGTTAGGTTTGGCAAGGGATTTCCAAAGTCGCCCGTGTAGTTTGGATGCTTTTCGTTTGGATGCTTTTCGATCTTCAAAGTTGGCCTCCAAGGTTGACAAGGTTTTGCCTGCATTTGCGTTTGAGTAGCAGAAGCTCTCAGAACTTCAAACCAGGTGAGTTCATTTGGGTGTTGCAAACAACAGGAGGCACCACACCAACAAAAACACCCTTGAGGAGCCCAGTTGTTGCAACAGCCTGTTCATGCTAAGGCTACCTGCCAGCTCCATTGGCAGCACCAAAGTCCCTCTCTGAATAGTGCAAGTGCTTCACCGCAACTTGTGTGGACCAAGCTGTTTGGCCAGGGGTTCCTCAGGTCCCTTTGGTCACTCGACAAAAGTGCTCTTGGCCTCATGAAGTGTGGGCTTCTGCGCTCTTTTGGGATCGGCGCCCCAAAGGGGCCATCCTGACATCCACTCCGCCTAAGAGAAAGGGTGCTCCAGGGGCTGGTGGTTTGGTTTCAGTGGTCAGTGATGAGTGAAATCAAATTCGTTGACTAGGAGACCTTGCTATTTGAGGCCCTAGGTCTGGAATGCCCTACCCCTTGTTGCTACAAAGAACACCTTGTGGCAGACGACTTGCAAGCCTGGCAGACTGTACAACCGGGTACAATTTCGACTCGAGGAGTCACTTTCTTACATCTAGAATCTAGACAGAAGTTTGTCAAGAATTTGGGCCACAAAAAAGTTGACTTGACCTTCTTGACAAAATGGATGACCTCATCGCGAAGCGAAGCAGTGCGAGTCACGCTTTCATTTGGCTCTCAGCACCGCGAAGCTCTGACTCGACTCATCTCGTCCCGAGAGGTGCGACCGTCATGGCCTGGCGCGCCCAGCAAATCTGCTTGTGATTTGACATTTTAATTTAAAATAAATTTAATAGCTTCTTGTTACTACTAGTAAGGCACCTGTTACTACTAGAATTTGAACCATGAGAACTGCGTGGCCTGGTTGTAGCTTGGTTGTCCCCATCAAAGATTAACAGAGAAGGGTGGCAGCACCCAACTCAGGGAGGAGCTGGTTCCTAATTAGCCTATTTCTAGCCACCAATTGAAAGATGCTGAAGGAGGATTTATGAGGCCAAGGGTATTGGCTCCCAAAGAGCCAGCTGCTTAATCTGAGTCGAGGCCATACGTCTGAGCCGCCGCTTGTTAAGTGTGCCTGCGATCAAGGTGCGCCAGATATTGTCCCACCGACCAAAGAAAGGCGAAACATATGAAAGCTACTTTCTCTATGCTGGATCGATGGAAAATAGCTCGACATTCCCCACAAACAACTGGTTGGCAGCTATCATCAGTCTTGTCGCTGTTTATCACAGAAGGCCATTGCTCCATAGCCTCTTCAACTCATAAATGTCTTCAAACACATTTCAATGGAGGCTAGGTTGCTAGGTTGTTCATCGACTGGAATTAGGGGCAGGCAAGGCAACAAGAAACGGAAGCAAAACGGAAGCAAAGGAGCAAAGGACGCTACTAGGGGCTCCTGGCCTTACTACTAGGAACAAGAAGCTACTAGACACTCCTGGCATCGCTACTAGGAGCAAGGACGCTACTAGGAGCAAAACGGAAGCAAAACGTAAGCAAACGGTGGACACGAAAGAACTGTTGTTTTGGCTACAGCCCGAAAGAACCGACGGTGTTCGCCATTTCGCTTCCGACGGTGTTCCATGCCGCTGCCAGGAGTTCGCCCAGTACGAGGCCATCAAGACCTCCAAGGCTCAGATGATGGCCATACACTCGGATGCACTTGGCACTCGGTATGGTGTGAAGGGTCAGTGAAGGGTGGGAGCTGCACAACAGTTGGGTGGTCTGCCGAGTAGGACATGTATTTTTTACTATTTTTTGCCCTTGGTTTGAAGTTGAAGAAAGTCGATTTGTTGATATTGCACTTCCGGCGTATCTTCTAGATTGTCGATCTACGAAACGTTTATTATGTCTCAGTTTCCAAGATATTTTTTTTTCTTTGTCAGCACCCATGGCGTGAAGGAACTTCAACCACTTAGGAAGATGCACTTAGTGGGGTGAAAAGCTTCAGACTCCCACTACTTTTCAAGCCGGTTGTATATATTTGAGTCTTTGAAGCATAGGACTTGCATTGAGACTTCAGCTCAGAAGGCAAAGCTTAAACGAATGGTTCTCTGCCCAAACACCGAATTGAGGTCGGCTATTTTACAGGCCACTGGAGTACGGCCGGCAAGATGTACAAAGAGCAGTTTGAGGCCAGTGGAATTGGAGGTAAGGTCTAGCTTTATTAGCGAGAGACATTTCACGTCGTCAAATCCACACCGACACACCGTTTTATACTTGGAATAGGTCAACAGATTCAAAAGGCAAGAAATAGCGGCAGCAGGAATACGAGGGTTCTCATTATCCAGGGTCTCCCCCAATACAGAACAACCTTGTGCTTTGCTCAACTTGCAAACCATTCGTATTAAACAAAGACTTGTCACCGACAAGCCAAATTTTGACATGCCAGAACTATCAACAAACGGATGCACGACAAGCCAAAGGATGCCGTGAGTCTTTGGAGGCCATGGCCAAGTCATATCCCAAGTATTCCTTCTACACCTGCGACGTGGATGATGCTCCACTGGCGGCCTACGATGCCGAGGTACGACGTGCGGGTTGGGCTCCTACCCCAGTTTTGAGCTAGCCCAGTGGCACATGTAGAGCCCGGAAACCAACATTTTTCAGAACCTTGGGACACTCTTTTTGACTCCTTGTGCTTGCAGGTGATTGAGATATTGCGTGCAGGAAAGAATCAAATTGGATAGGTCCAGGAGCTCCCATTGCTGGGCCTTTGAACAGGTTCAAAAGCATCAGTTGTCGTTCTACCAAAAGGTCAATCCATCCACTTTCTGGTGGCTCCTCTTCCTTTGCGTAGCCATCGCCGAGCATGTTGCTGCCATGTGCAGGTGACAGAGGTGCCAAGTGTGGTGATCCAACCCTTAGGTTTGAAGCCTGATGGTCAGGGGGCCAAGCCTGGAGCGGGCCACCAAATCATACCAAATCTTTGTTTGTGTTGTTCTTTCTAATTTTGTGTCAACTGATGGGCAATGCATCAGGATGTTTGCGTCACTGCATGGTAAATGCACAAGCCAAAATGCAGCAGAAAACTCACAGCCTGTAATGCAAAAAAACATTCTTCAACAGTCTTAGTCTTCTGATTTGATGTCATTTTTTGTGGCTTTCAGCCTCAGTTTTGTACAAGTCATGATGTAATGTATATATATATATATATATAAACATTTTGTTGAACAAGTCGTGTCTTTTGCTGCCGTGGTCCAAAGAGCTGGTCCAGAGATTGCTTCTGCAGTTTGGGAGTGAGTCCCGTGGCCGAAATCAAGCCACGTGCTCCCCAAAGAAAGGATACGGGCCATGGTGGCATTTGCTGAAGAAAGTCTTTGAAGCTGGTCTTCCCACCTCGGCTGACAATGTTTGGCACCGTGAACATCGAAGGTAAAGGAAGGCAGAAAGAAAGGAACGAAGGAAGAACACATCAATTATCAAAACTAAAAACAAGAAATGCCTGGAGGAAGAAAGGGAGAGATCAAGAATAGACTCATAAAGAATGTAAGCTAGACTGGTGGAGGCCTATGAAACGGTGTTATGCACCTGGACACCCAATGGACACATATGGAAACTATATTACATAGATAAAACAATTCTATAGATAATCCAAAGACATATTTCAATTTCGATACTATATATGGTTATATATATACATATTTATTACTGGAAGCTGTTAGGTTATATTATTGACGCCCCCGAGTGACATTGCAGAAGGACCTGCAAAAGTAACATTACATTGTTTACGTTCAAAACAATATATAACATGTTTATTCCATTACATTGTTTAGATACCAAATCATGGAAACATGTCGGTTGCATTGTGTGGCGTCCACCCACTGTAATTTGTGGGGATCATGTATGTATACACATACATATAATATATATATATATGCATGCAAATTGTGATTCAAGGTTACTATGGTCATTTTCGTTTGGCTAAAGGTAACTTTTTCTCCATGGTCCGTCCCCCTTACAACTCCATTCACAGGCTCATACTATGACAAGACGGACATGGCTGGGCGCCAAGAGGAATTCAAACCCGGTGGTGATGGCCTCGCTGAAAGATTGACCTCGTTGCCTGCGTAGCTGGGTTTTGAGCGCCCTGATGATCACTTGCTTCGCACCTCTTTGGAGGGTATATCCCTCTTGAAACCTGACAGAAGAAGGCTTGTGATCAGATCAGATGAGTGTGGCCCTCTCGAGTAATTTCAACAGACTCTGCTGATGCTGTGCATTTTTCTGTAAGAGAACAGGGAACCGGGACCGCAAACACTAACACCAGTGCCTTTCAAGGTTACTTAGTCGGCACCAAAAAGTCGTCGTTTGGCATTGAGATACCTCTGAGGCTCCACATGTTCAGGTTCCATGTGTGATTTTTAGGGGCGAACAATGTGCCCTGCTCGGGCGGCCAGACAATCATTGGTGACGCATTTTTGGAACCACAGCACTAAACACCTGAGGTTGTGGTAGCGCCCGAACTGGCCAAGTTCGACCAGGCAAGGAAAGATTTGTGGCTTTGCATGAAGGTTGAAACTTAAAGGCATGTTTATGCCAGTCAGGAAAGCCAAATAGGCGCGGGTCAAAACGCAGGAGCTAGTAGGATTTCTATCTGTTTCCTATTGTATACAGTAAAGTTGCTTGAAGGAGTCTACTCTTCTCAGATTTCAGGGAAGGAGAGCGAAAATTCAAGAGTGGTATACATTCTACAGCTTACTTGCATTGCACATATCTTCCTACCGTGAAAGGAAATAGGCTGAGACTAGCACGGACAAACAGGACTCTTCAGTTCCACTACCCAGCCCGCAGCACACTGAAAACTAAAGGTGCTGCCCAAAGCGAAGAGTGTCGTGGACTCCATTGAGGTTTTGGACGATGAGGCGTTTGCAGAATCCTGATAATTTATCCCATCATAAGATCATAGTCCCAACAGGCAAGCTTTTGACTGCTCAGCATCTTCCATTGTGCCTCCAAAGTTGATGAACCATGGTTTGTCGGATTGCATGACAGCTTACTTGCCGAATGTGAAGGCATATGTATATATACATATATAAATATTTGCAATCTGCAAAAACTCATTCACAGTTCTGGAACGTTTGCAGATGGTTCAACTCAAATCTATTGGAACCCTTGTCCAGTTCAAGTTTAGTGTGGATGGCCCTGGTGGGACTCCACGATTACAGCCGGGATCTGACAGTCAGCTGAGCTCATGATGTCATGTGTGGGCAGGGCGAGCGACAACCGTGGCAGTTCGATCCTGCCACAGGCCTGGGTTTCCGTGCTAGTCAGACGCCAACTTCTGAACTTCTCGTAGTTGGAAAATATGGTCGGATTTGAAACCTCACTTGTCTTGGTAAATCGTATAATTGGCACTTTCCCATAATTGGAGGAAAATCGGAGCTGAGGTTCCAACATCAGTTCTGGAAGGGATTAAAACATAACACATACTTGTAGACCCATACCATGAATGTCCTAGGGATGGAGCTTAATCATTAGTTTTTTGACGGCTCAAACCAGGATCTAAAACCAGCTTTGCAGAGGGAGCCAAATGAGCAGTGGGATCCTTGTGTCAGATGGGTGAATTTACAAACAATCACATCCGCAAAGACACAGTGCGAGGATTGTCTTTGGATGACGAATCGGAGCGGAGGATGTTGATTTCTCTTTTGTTCCCTTTGGTGAGCTGTTAATCAGGCAAGCGGAGACAGCAATATAGCACTTTAGGATTTTGTAAAGAGCTCCTTTCATGATAGCACTTGCAAAGCCAACCGTTTGAATTTGTCAAGGCGACGCCTCTCTTTTTCAGGAACGAGTTAGCGACCTCCGTGCCCAAATAATTGCCAACTCGGCTCATAAGGCTCATGCTCGCTACTAGTAACAAGTGCATCACTACTAGGAACAGGGGCATTACTACTAGTAGCTACTAGCAACAAGATTGGAGCTCAGATGCCCTTGGTCTTGCCAACTCGGCTCATAAGCCTCATGCAGCATGCAGCCATGACGTCGCCCATTGATTCTTGACAGGCACGACGTTGCCGCCCCACAAGTGAGGTTGAGAGCCTAGATTTCTCCATCCGAGCTTTGGAGAGCGTGTTTCTGCCTCGCGGATAGAGGCAGAGGTAGCTATAGTAGCTATTAAGTAGCTATTAAGTAGCTATTAAGTAGGATGCTACTACCTACTGGACGCAGGATAGCTCACACTTCTTCAAGGAAGCTGAAGCTCGCTCCAAGGGGAGCTTCCTTGAAGAAGCGCTCGCACCAATCATTTGGTTTCTAGATTTTCTTTGAAATTTAATTTACCTGACGATGAATGTCCCACCTGCTTGAGTTGAACTTCTGAGGACCTGACGAGGACCTGACCTGCAGCTGAGTTGCCAGAAACCACGTCCAGAAGGTCACATGAATACATTCATAAACAAACAAACAATCCCAACATATATCACAAATCATCAATGAATCCATGATCAAAATCGATATGAATCACTTTATATTTAATCGAACCGAACATTTTTGGACAACAAAAACATAGATTTCTATTTTACTCTATTGGACTCGCAGAAAAAAAATACTAAAAACAACAATATTATAGAATCTCGAAATCACTATATAATCTACATATTCACAAAAGGGGAAGGAATAACAATATTATTTTCCCCTCAATTCTATATCTATTATATGTATTCTAAATTCTATTTTGATAAACAATATATATATTAAATCCGTCGGCCTTTGGATACGGTATATTTTAGGTAATTGGTTTATATATTATTTTAATTGTATTGAAATTTACATATATATCGTCATATCGATATGAAATATTGAATTCTTTGATGATTTTATTTTTTATTTATTTCTTTTTTCTTTTTTATCTTCTTTTTTTTTCCTTGATAAATTTAATTTAGAATAATAGAAATTATATTTATATTAATAATATATTGAATATATGTAAATATATAATTATGTATGTATATATATATTTGAATATATTACAATTTGATTATATATAGAATTAATTTTAATTATATTTATATATGATAATATTAAATTAATTTAAATTATATTTATATATATATAGATATTTTTTATATTATATATTTCGAAAACAGCATTATATGGGTGTGGTTTTTACCCATTTTTGTGGTTTATATTATTTTTTGAAATTATTAACTATTTAGAAGGATGTATTTAGCAAATATATTGATTTATATTTGGTTAGATCTCTAGCATTAGATTGTTATTTCTATGAGACGAATTTGGTCTTTAAGACCTCTAATCTTAATGAATTCCTAATCTCTAGTAATTTGGGCATGTTGGGTTTCTCCCGTAGGGGGGGAAAAAAAATACAATATGGAGAATTATTGTTATTTTTGTTTTTTTGCCCTTCCGCCCGGAAGTGGCCTGGTTCTGGAGATAATCGAGATTATGGAATTTATTATAGCTATTTGTGTAAGAATAGCAATTCCACTAATATCCGGAAGTGGCCTAGGTGCTGGAGATAATCGAATTTATGAATTTCATTATAGCTACTTGTATAAGAATAACAATTCCACAACAACTTTTTATATTCCTCTCGTCTGTTTGAAGACATAATTGTCTGTTCTTGCAAGCATTTGTATAAATTGTATATAGAAAATTTCGTTTTGTAAATATTTATATAGATATGCATGTGTGGTCATATATGGGTCATCAATGGTTCTTTTTCCAACAACTACACGAGGCAACTGCGGATCTGCACCTCTAAGACCTACGTGTGCGCAATGACAATTCATGCACTTCATGTTTTCGGGCCGTTGCAAAAAAAAATATTCCCCGTAGCATTGGCGCACGCACGCAAAACACTTGCCTGCAGCAGACGCAACTGTCTCTCTGTCCGTAGCCCTTTCCAGCAAACAGCAAGCTCAGCCACACGTTATACCGCAATCTCAGATGGAAGATACTCTGGAATATGAATTTGAGGAGATCATGGGGGAGATGTCTTCTCAACCGCCGGTCAAATGTCTTCGAGGAGCTCAGCTGCTTCTTGCCTCCATAACTCGATTCAATTTGTTCTTTGATTGTCTTATGTCGTCCAAGATGAATCAATGAAATGTGAACCTTGTCATCTATGACCGTGCTTGCGCCATCAACACACTTGCAAAGAAGAAGGCAGGTGTGGACTCTAGCCGCTACTGGGCCGTGGACAAATTTCACGCCAAAGGCCACGTTGATGCATGCCCTTGCCATCCAGAAAGGGTTCGGTCCTTGAAGAAGCAATGCAAGGGGCTCAATACCTCCCTCTCCGAGCAAGTGTTGTCGTGGTCCCGAGGCTATACCAACACGTTCAACTCAACGTCGGCAGAAACTCACAAGTTCTATGTCTTGGCGTACTCTCGGCGGCACAATGTCATGACATCGAAGAAGGACACGGCCCACTTGAACGTGCACGCTACAGCCAAGAAAGCGGCCCAGACAAACCGATTATACAAAAGGCCGGGGTCCCATGCCTACCCATGCAAGCGCCCAGCTGCTTCACTTACACTTACAATCATATCGTCCAGCTCAAGTTCTCGTAAGCGACCAGCATGGGCACGTTGAAAAACGACGCCTTCGGTCAACTATCTTGTAGACTACGCCGCTACGTCTGCTATACGGACCATCTGAGTGTAAGCATTATGTAGGAATGCTGTACTAGGCCTGACAGAATGCCTCTGAAGTTATGCGCATACCCACTATATATGACACTGTATCCCTGTATCAGACTGTATGATACGAAATTTATCTTTGTTCTCTGCGTAAGCACGCTGTCTTGTCAATATTGCGGCATTCTTGGCAGAGGTTCTGTCTATCAGGGGACGCGGAGACGCCACTTCGCTTAGAAACTCTGCAGCGTGAGCGCCCTCTGTCACAGGCACTTGTGCTCGCTGAGTCTCGTCTTCAGCAACGGGCTATAATCTCAACACACAAAAGATGCGTACACATACACGTACCTTGATTGTGCCGGCTCCAATCTGAAACTTACCTAGACCACAACCATGGAAACTCTTACTAAACACGACAAAATCAAACAAAAACACCACAAAACCACATAAAAATCACGCCCGCATAACTTCGAACTCTCTATATATTATATATATTAAAGGAATATATATATATATTTAACTATATAATTAATTTATGCAATATTTATATGAAATTTATCGATTTATTTTGATATATAAATTTACATTAACATTTTAAAACATTTAAATATTAACATTCAGGATTTCTGATTTTTTTAAATTATTTTCTATTCTATTTTTTAAAATTAATGATTTTAATTCGGAATAACAATATTTAAGGAATAATAGGAATTAAGAGAATATATATTTATCGTCGGATTTTCTAAATAGTTATAAATATATATAATAAAATATTTGGCAAATAATTTTCGGATGCAATGGTTAGGTTGTATTGAATTTGTAGGAGGTGCGCATTTAGATATTCTATTTTGTAAGCAATTGCAAGTGGCTGTTAAAAACGCCATCTTCGTTCAAGTGTAGCGCGCTTTTGGGACCCGTGGGGCGGCGCCATGTTTTGTTCGTTCTTGAATTGTTGATCTTGATCGTTCGATCTTGCCGTCCACATGCTGCCATTTTGGCCATTGTTTGTGCTTTTTCTTGTTCTCCTGAGAAGTCCGGTCCCAAGTCCGGAGGATCCTCTAGATCTTCACGTCTTAGCACTAGGTTCACGAGGATTCGGCGCGAGGGTTACCCATCCGGCCTCACGGGTGGGTGGGAGCAGCTTTGATCCAGCTCTATCAGGCCCTCCTGCGAAATGCCATGAGGCATGGGCGTCGTCGGGCTTAGGCCTTGTTGAATCACGCTCACGTTGCAATCGACTGAAGCATTCGTACACACGAGCCTGTACTAGATCCATGAGAGAAGGCATTTCCATGTTTAAAGGTAGACCGATATATCCACATCAGATCCCCTTTCGAATCAAACAGCTCATCATGTCCAAGCAACCCACAGCTAAACGGAAGTCCACTGTTCATGCACTCATATCTAAAGTGCCGGGACACCTTCATATCTTTCAATGGAATGCATCCAGGTCCCTTAAATACCACTCCTGGATTCATTGGTGTCATCAAAGCCCCTACGACATCTTTGCCGTTCAGGAATCTGGATGGTCGATGACCAACGAATGCAACAATACGCATTGGCACATCGTGCATTCTGCAGATCGTTTTGCATCGATCTTGTTCATGGTGCGTTCAGTACTCATTCGTAGGGACCAAATTTCGATTGCCCATCACGTCCATGGCCGCCTGCTGCAGGTACGACTGAACCTCACCAGACCGAAAGATTATATGATCGTATACCAACAGGCATGGTCCACCCAGCATGGGATTCGACAGATCCTTTCTAAACGCAAGCAAATCTGGACCCTCCTGAAGCACTGTCGTGAAAGATTGCCCCAGAGACATCAGATTATAGTCTATGGTGACTTTAATGCCCCCTTAAGTCACATACCCCATCAAGTGCATACTGCTGATCCTAGATATCATCAAGCTGCTCAACGGGACAAACAGACATTCTCTCAACTGGTCCAAACTTTTGAGCTGACCACCTTGCACTGTCGAGATAGGTTCCAGCATACGTTCCAGCATGGTACACACGCATCCAGAATAGATTTTGCCCTGATGCGCCGGACCCAAATCAGTTGGCCGCTCATGGAACCTCGAATCATTCCTGACTTTGCCTTCAATTTTGGTGTTCTTGGACCTCACCATCATCCACTTGTTTGGACCATTCCGAAGTGGTACCCTTGCCCTCGCCCCAAGCCGGTCGTCCTGTTTGATCGTCATCGCATTCGTCAGGACATGCAACAGAACTCACGGAGATGGCAATGCTTCTGCTGGGAGGCCAGACAGCTCTTGCAATATGCCAATCAGGATAGTCCCATTATATTCCATGAAGTTGAAATCCAACTCACTGACCTTTGCAAGACTTGGTTTCCCAAGCATACCTCCACTCCCACTGGGTGTACCAACCTGGCCTCTCTCACTGCTCGCGTGTGGCAGGCCCGGAAAAACGTTCGTGCCCTTATTGACCGCTTGCTGACATCCATTTTCACAGCCTGGAAGCACCTTGTCCTGTTTCGTAGATATCACAAGCAAGTTCGACAATACAGCCGTCAGAATAAGAAGCAGAAACTTGCAGACTTTCTTCGAGAAGGTGCTGACTTGGCCCTGCGACATCAGACGTACGATTGGTACCGCAAGATCCACAATCCTGCAGCGCTTCGACCGATCTGCCTCCAGCACCCCATTCTCAAGATTGTTTCAAATATATTGATCAATATCATCAAACAACACACCTATCCCACCCTTCGCAGTCTGCCGCTGTATGCCACCTTCCGAACAGAGGCACCACTGAGTGTCTCCTTCGCGTTTGACATCACTGCCAGCAAATTCGCCAGCTGTGTCGAGACCGACACATGGACACGAATCCAGATGGACTGTTCGGTGGCCTGCAGATTTCCTTAGACATGGAAAATGCTTTCGATACGGTTCGTAGGGACATTGTGCTTCAAGCCCTGTCTCAGATAGATTTAACATCAGATGTCCTGCATATGATCCAAATATGGTTGGCACCTCACAAATATCACATCCCTTCAAATCTCTTGCTGGCACCATTGAAGTAAGCAGGGATCAATTGATGCGCCCATCATGTGGACTCTTTGTAGGTACCTCATCATGAAGGATCTCCTTCAATGATACTCTCATGCATGGTTGCACGAGCATCTCATTGTTTATACAGGTGATGTTCATCTCCGTTGGAACTTGAGCAGTATTGCAGATGGCCACAGTGCCCTTGGAGATCTTGCCCACATTTTGCACACCTTTCGCACGTATGGGTTCAACATTAACACTACCAAAAGTGTTGTCCTCTTTCGAACAATTGGAAAAGGGGTCTCTAAGTTCATACGGCACTGGATTTGCCGGACCAAACATGGTCCCCGGCTTTCGATACCTGACACACCATTTCGCCTGCCGATGGTTGCCAAAACTATCTCGGTGTGATCATTGGGTATAGAGCCTGGGAAATAGACACTACTGCACGCAGAGCCCAGGTTGCGCAACACTGTTTTTCGATTCTCAAGCGGTGGCTCCAAGCGCAATCCATTCCGGCACAAGTTCGGTTTAGACTGCGCCACCAATGTGTCGTGCCCACGGTTTTGTATGGTGTGCATGAAATGGGATTGCCTACTTCTTGTTGCAAAAGAATAACGCATATGATTAATGTGCACTTCCGACGTATGACACGGTCACCTGTGCACCTATCCATGAAAATACCATTGATTTCTTCCATAGACTAGGAATGAAGGCACCATGGACACTCATTGCAGATCATCACCTCCGCCTGACCACTGCTCTGGTCAGCAAGAGCCAGAGCAGCACAAATTTGATAAGCTATTGGATCGTATGTTTTTAGCTGGGCCCTCCTGCAGGGGCAAGGTAGCAATCTCCCTGGGCTTTAGCTTCGCCTTCCAACCTGGCCGCGAAACTCATGGACAAACCCACGGTAAAAAACAGCAAGGCAAACAACAAACAGTGCAAACGATCGGTAGAAAAATCTCCGGTATTCCACACCATGAGAATCGAACATATTTGCATTATTTTGGGAATGTTGGAAAGCAAAATTGATATCGATATCGCGAATATATACCGTGCCTAGCATTATTTCGGCTATTTATGATTTCAAGGTTGTGACCCCCGGAAGCAGCTGCGCCTCTGCCGGGCCACACGCAAGTGGCAAAATGACTGCAGCAACAGGACTGCTATGGTAAAGAACTGAAAATCGAGCTGATTAGGGCACTATCAATTTTGAGAAAACCTAATTCGTGTTTGCAAAGAAATTTCTTTCTTTCATAACGCTTTTGCACAAGAAATTATCTCCAATTTACCCACAATATTGTGCGATATGCATGATGTTTGCAAAAAGCACCGTATAATGTAATAATGCTAGTTTGCACCAAATTGTCTCGCATTTGCCAATAATACCAAGATGATTTTTTTGAAATTGCAAAAGGCAACTCGAACAGAAGGTCATTCAGAACATGGAGCCGGCGCATAAGAATAATGCACATATATATATGTATATGTATAATGCACATATGTATAATGCACATAAGGTTATTCAGAAGGTCATCCAGAATAAATAATGCACATATGTATATGTATATCAAAAGATGCAGGTCGAATATAGATTAATGCAGTGATGCCAAACAAATGCAAAATCTTTCAAAACATCAAACAAATTGAAGCTTTATCAACGCAGTGCTGCCACACAAATGTACTCTATCAAAGCGTCGAAAACAAGTATTGAATTTGCGACGCGCTCACGAGTATAGCTATTGAAAAAGAATATTATAATAAGACCTTATTCTGTTGCGCACGCGTTCGAACGTTGCAGCGGAAAGCGTTAGCGCGCGCGTCCAAGAAATGCTCGATGAGCACGTAGGAACGAAAAGAGAAATGTGGACCCAGGGTCGGTTGCTGCGAACAAACTCGAAATAAATCAAGGCTGTCTGTGGTGGACCATGCGGGATTCGATCCCTCGACCGACGGCGTCGGAACGTAGCGGAATTGCTTAGTGGTATATGCCCCAGGACGAAAGCAATATGTATGAAATAATTGGAATATTTCTTCTG